TGTGTGTGTGTGTGTGTGTGTGTATGTGAGTGATTCTTTCGTAAAAATCAAATAATACCTAACTAAATAAACAAAAAGGTAAACAGCAAAAAAATGATAACGACTCGAAGTTGTCTCTTATGAGAAGCTGTTGTATATGATGTACGAAAATGCTTCTATTGTAATTATCGACGTGAAACCAGTTAGAGTTGAATGTATGCTCTCTTTTTGTCGTTCATAGAAATAAGACGGTTAATCGCTATTTTTATAGCATAATCCTCTATTGACGACATTACTGTCGCCTGAATGTTATTTTGTAATAATCGTAAAGAATAATATTAACAGACATAACATATTGCAGTGACGTGTTTTCTCTCTGGTCTGTGAATATTTGTGACATAAAAGAATTTGTTCCAACATGCGACATAAATTCTTTTCAGTCGCCACAGACAGAGAAAGAACTTGTCATTATAGTAGTGTTTTAGCGCCAATAAAATGCCTAATGCCAGCTTGGACTATTTGCTGTCAAGTAAATTGAGATTGTTTCCGAGTACTATATATCTATCAGGTTTGCTAAGGTGATAATACCGATTTTGAAGCACGTAAAGCTTTCTGTTGAGCAGGAATTTGCGCTATACAATACTATTGATCATTGTTATCATTATAATTTGTAGGAGGGCCTCTTTTGCCAGTGGTGTTGACCAATGCAGCGGTACTGTGCGACATTTAAAAGTATTCCTAATGGCTGGGGAATTTGGAGGAAGGGGGGGGGGGTAGAGCATCCGGATAGTAGACACGGTTGGCTACTTAATCAAAGTCAAGCGAGGTAAAATCGAATTGAGGAAACAGTTATTTTTCAGCATGTCAACTTCAAATTTCTTACATGGAGATAAAGGATCGCGTAGCATCTCATATAAATATTTTAACCTATGATCTCGATCCAACTATGAAAATGACTCTGCAACATTGCAAATCTGCACTCCAGATAATCAGGTTTTTCAACCATTTAAATCAATGCTGAGCCAAAAACGACCCCTGTCAGATTCGTTAATCTCCTGAAACAGATGTCTATATTTCAAGGTAAATATTTGTTGTAGATTTTTTCTCGGAAAGATAAATGGGAGAACGATTGATACGACGGCTATCTTTCACCTTTGAATGATATTGATTCAGCATTTTGTATCGTATACGTGCGATTTACGTTTCAGCTTAGGGCATATCAGAACATAACTAAGCATGCATCTTGATGAAAAAAAGATTGTATATGCGTTACGTTCCGGTCGACACAGTTTGGTTTTGGAGGTGGGCCGCTTTGGACCTGTTTCTCTGGGTCAACTTGAGTTGAAAGGGATACAACAGCCATCAGAAAAACGAAGATGCTCGATAAAGCTCCCCCCACTCGGGAGTCGAACTCATATCTTCTGAGTGCAACGCCACAGCACCTAGCCTCTACACCACAGACGTCGGTATACCTCTTGAGCTACGAGGAAGTTCAACAGGTTCTTCAAATAAAAGACGAAGTAAAATTCTTTAGATTACAGGCGACGTCAGCGGGTATGAACGAACTAAAAACGTTAACTCAAATTACCAGCAACTTGAGATGGCCACTGTCTCTTTTATCCTATTAAGAAGCCAATGACTAGGGGGTGAATTCTCACCAGGGGGTAAGAACAGGCGTAATTACGAGACACCCAGCTGTGAGTTAGCGACAGTGTTATTTCATCTTCGATTTCCTTAAGTCAGTGTGGGACACTTTTTTACTAATCTGATCAACGCATTGGCGTTCCCCAGGCTCAAAGAGCAGATGACGTAGGATATATTGTTTATTTGTTTTCTTTCTGCATCCCAGGCAAAATACACAACAATTTAACAGGAAAAATAAATACGTTCAATACAATATAAGGGATAGGCCAAGCATCCTTTTTTCAAGAAAAGAATATCTTTGACCACATTGTACCTTTTTCACCCCCCGCCCCCCCCCCCAAAAAAAAAAAAACAATATTAAAAAAACCACCCCAAAAGCTTAAAAATAGCACAGCCAATAACTGGGCACTTTCTCCAGGAGCAAACAAAACGCACAACCCATTAACTCTTCTAACTTTAATGACCTCTATACTAGTTCTCAGTCGCACACAGGAGACCTGAGTCCAGTTCCAGAGTGGTGAGTATTTTAACCCAGTACCCCAGTCTTTCTGCCCGGATGTTGAATCCCTCTCAGCCCAGGTTGGCTTTGACAGGCAGGGTCGTGGCCCGCCTCCTGAATGAATTAAATTGTACCTATAGATTCGTAAAATACGTACATTAAAAACCTTAAATGGCCTCCATAATTTGTGGCAAGCAGGTGTATAACATGGTCTAAAGACTGAGCCCTCTGCTATGAAAGCAAAAGACACGAGTTCGTTTCAACATGCTTAAGTTTAGCTGTTACGTTTTTACACAGCCCAGGACTCTCAAAAGCGGGGTTGAAGTAGCCTCTCCTGGCTGACACAGATTGTATCGAAGGGAGCGAAAAAAACAATTGTAACAACATTTTAGTAGAAGTGAAACTTTTAGTATATGGATGGGCTATTTCTCCTTTGTACACGACCGATAATTATTTCATCTAAGTTTTCAGCATCCCAAACATCCCTATAATTCCACTCCCGTTTGACTTATTTACATAAAATAGACACCACACTGAGTGGAAATGAATGATACGAGCAATGAACCTACAATTTGAATATAAATAGATAACACAGATTGACGCTGGTTTGCAACCATAAACAACGGGCGTTGCTGTGATTCAGCGGAAATAGAGCACCGTTATAAGAGTTAAAAATGAAGTAAAAATAGGAAAAAATCCCAAGAAGGGGTTAAAAATACATA